CGCATGTGCTGCGAGACCACCTGCGCGGCCAGCCGCTCGGCGGCCCTGCGGCCCACCGCAGAGACCGTCACGGCGCCCCCCAGCTTGACCGCCCCCGGCAGCAGCTCCTGCACGCTCAGGCGGATGGGCGCCAGCAGGCGCTCCGCCCATCCGGGGCGGCCCCTGCCCGCGGTACTGCGCGGAGCGAGGCCACGAGCGGGCGGGCGAGAACTCAGGCGGCAGACCCCGTGTCCCCTCTGCGGACGGCAATTCAGGCTTCAAGCACACGGCCTCCGCGCCGCAACAAGTCGAGCCCCAGATCCAGAGTCTGCCGCCGTCCACACCGCATCCCGCGGGACCCGCCCGCGGCTCACCCGCCCATGCCGTCGCCTTCGACGCCGCCCGCCGCCGCGGCCGCCCTGCCGGCTGCGGCGTCGCTTGCGCCCTGCGGCTGCCCGTCCACATACTCCTGGCAGTTTTGGAGGATGTGCAGGAACAGCTCTGTCTCCAGGTCTTCCGTTGACAAATTGCCGCTGCACTGCACACCCAGCCTGGGGGTGTGGGGCCGGCGGGGAGGCGGGGTGAGGGCCGCCGAGCGACGGGCGGCCTGTGGTGTCGCACACGGCAGCGGTCTGGCGCATGCACAGGGGACAGGCAGCGGCGCGAGTGCACGCGCGCAATCGTGGACGCCGCGGCTGCGACCTGTCTGAGTGAACCCCCACCAGGGCAGGCAGATGCGTCGTCCCCGCAGCAAAGGCGCGCAATGCTGCTGCAACCCCTCCCCCCCAAAACACACATACACACACACACGCACGCACGCATACACACGCACCCACACATGTGCGCGCGCCCACACCTGTCGCGAACGAGCAGCAGCGCCTCGCGGTACGAGGGCCACTTGCCGCGCAGCGTGGACGCGCTGTTGGCCGACAGGAAGCGGAAGCGGCTCTCAATCTGCGGGTCAACACAAGCGATGGGGATGCGGATGCGCGGAGCCCAACGAGGGCGGTTGTCATGGCGCGTGGGAGCGGCGGGTTCCGACGTCTACCTCTGGTGTAGGGGCAGCAGCGGGGGCCATCGCGATCACGTGTGCGTGTGCATGTGCACTTGCAAAGAGGCTCGCCGGGCCCCAGCCGCGTGCGGCGCCCCGCAGGGAATGCGTGCACCCCATGCAGCGCGCAGTGGCGTCAGCCGCGCCGCCTGCGCCGGCGGCCGCGCAGACCTTATGCATGACGCTGGCGCGGCCGCGCTGCTGCAGCGCCGCGGGCTCGTCCTGGGCGACGAGCGTCTTGACCACGGGGCTGAAGGGGCTGGGGCCAAACAGGATCGCATACAGCTGCTCTAGGTGGTCGTCGTCGCACATGTCCAAAACCTGTTTTACAAATGACAATGATACGCAGGCATGGGTAAAGCGATGGCATCGTGCTTGCGGCCTCACGCAGGCTAGTGCAGTAAGGGAGGGGCGCGAGGGCAGGGCTGCGCAGCGGCCAGAGGCGGGGCGGCGACGTCGCCTGGAGCCGGCCAGTGTCGCAAGCACTGGCTGAGCGCTGGTGAGGCGTCGCCGCTCGCACAACCAATGCGCCTGCTTATGATAATGCCCCTGCGCGGCGCGCAGCGTGTGCACCTGCCAGAGCTCCTGATCGACGTCCAGCGCAGACACAGGCTGTGTGAGAGCGAGCTCCAGGCTGCTTGAGCCGCGGCGTGTCGCACGCCTCGCCGCAGGGCTTGTATCCCTGCCGCCCACTCCGGTGCGGACGCACATTCGATCGTGGGCCACCAGTCGCGCAAAGCTGATCCCATTGCCGTGACGGGACGCTGCCTGTCGCGAACGGGGTGCTGCCATGAACGACTCTCTCCGCAAGCCGCCCCGAGCACAGGGCGCGCGAGCGAGCAGCATCGCAGTGACTTAAGGGACCCTTTGTCGCACCACTGCCGAGTGACAGTGCCGATCGGCGGAGGGATGCAGAGATCGTTGCAGTGGCACAGCGACCCGAAGACCGTGACAGTGTAATGCGCACGACTAATGTATTGGAACGTGAACAGAGCCAAGCCCTAATGCGAGGCTCGTGGCGGTTGGAACTGCTGTGCCCGGGACACAACCACCATCGGTGGGGCTTCTGAACTTCAACACATTGTAAGCAAAATGTGGCTGAGCGCTGATGACCGCGGGCTTGGCGCAGCCAGGAGGCATGGCGGCGACGGCGCCTTCGGCGGAAAAAAGTTGACCTGCCCTGCTTGCGCATGGCTGATCACGGGCAGTGAAATGACGACGTTTTTTCTGGTGTACTCGTTTGTTATTCTAGATTATTTGGTCTTTTTGGAATCGCAGATGACCAAGCTGCATTTTTTCAAGAACTTGAAGCCGGCAATGCAGCAGTTGCTGCGCGCTCCACGACAACCTCCTTGCGAGGTCACCCCACCAGACCTTGCCTGGTTGTTCGCCGCGGCATACTGTACCAACACAGCCTGCAACGCAGCTTGAGCTGCATTGATTTTCAATAATGGCGCCTCGCACATTGCCACTTCCTGCACCCAGGGCACCAGCCGTGGCCGCGGCGCGCCTGCCCATCATATTGGTGACTTCAACGATGGTGGCCGCATGGCTCGCTCGCAGCACAGATGCCCGGCTCCTGCTAGCGAGAGGTGCGGCATGCGGGAGCCCTCTGCTCCTAAGCATACATGCGGGGTGCATGGCAATACCACATGGCTCTTCAACAGTTGCTGAGGGAGTCGCCACCTTCTGCTGTCGATGGCCTCTGTTGCGCCAAATGCTGCATGTGTACGCACAATGAGCCCGTTGCCTCAGCTAAACAACCCCCCAAAAGTATACATCTTGTCTCAACCTTGACAAAAAGGGGACCTGGTAGTGCAAGAGAAGGTCACGACCGACCTGAACGGCGGTGTCCCGCCGCTGGGCGAGCGCCTGGACGCGTGGGACGAGCTGGCAGGCGCACGGCGCGATGCAGTCGCTGCAGAGGCGCGGTGCAAGGTGTGTGCATGCATCCGCAACAGGGGTATGAGGCAGACAGGAAATGACTTGGTACAGTAGGGCCGAAGAGTGAAGAAGCAGCAGGTCCAGGCCCGTACAAGCAAGCTCCGGCGATTGTAATCGACCTTGGTGCCGCGGCCGCGGCAGGTTGTGTGCGTGATTACAATGCGTTTGGGATGCATGGCTGCAGGCCCCAGGTCGGCAGTCCTCTTCCATACCCTCATTGCTGTGCGAGCCAGCTGCTGCTGTGCTTGCCACGCTGCTCACCAAAACACTGCATTCCCTGCTCACCTATTCCCCTGCCCACCCCCCCGCACACAAATGTGCTCCCAGGTGGCCAGGTACAAGGCCGGCCAAGTCAAAGGGGACCCAAACGTGACGCCGCCGCGCGAGTGCCTCGACCCGCGGATCACCGCCTTCCCGGAAGACAAGCAAGACAACGGCCCGCCCGAGTCGGTGCCGTGCAACGTAACCCCCTGGGGTTACCTCATCGGGCTGCTGTACCAGGGGGCGTACTGCGATGTCCTGCCAGAAGCTGCCGGCGGCGACAGTGGTGGTGGTGGTGGTGGTGGTGATGGTGGCGGCGGCGGCGGCGGGGGCGGCGGCGGCGGCGGCGGCGGCGGCGGCGGCGATGGTGTTGGTGGTGGTGGTGGTGCTGCTGGTGCTGCTGATGGTGCTGGTGCTGGTGCTGGTGCTGGTGGTGGAGGTGACGCGGGGGGCGGCAGCGCAGGTCGGTGACAGCGGCGGCGGCGGCGGCGGACGCAGACGGGGTGGCGCCGCGCGAGTTGCTGGCGCAATACGCCGCGCTGGGGCTGCCGGCAGCGGCAGCCGCAGTGCCGGAGGCGGTGCGGGGGGTGCAAGCAGAAGCAACTCTGGCGGCAGCCGTGGCGGTGGGGGTGGCGGTAGCGGCGCCTGAAGGGGGTACGCTTCCCGGCACGGCAGCCAGAGTGGACAGACTTGTAATGACGACAGAGTGCAGTTGCCAGGTAGCCTGAAAGATATTCCCAGCTGCTTTATGCCATCAGCGATGTCAGCAGCAAATGCCCTGCCCTGTTGCCAGACCACCGACAGTTGGACTTCAAGCATGCGATCATCAACATTTCACAGCTGATCACGAGGTGGACCTTCTGGGGTTTGAGCAAGGCGCCTCCACACAAACCAGCCCCAGTGCTCCTGGCCATTGAATGTCATGACTTATTGATCAAGCGACGGCCTGGCAGCAACAGTCAAACATCAGATCAAATCACACTTCTTTGCCACATGTTCAGTGCAGCTGTGGTACACCAGAACTTTGAAATTGTTCGGATCTGAGATAATCGTAAAGCCATCAATACATGGTCAAACCGGCATAACTCGCGGGCTGTCCGCGTGTCCCCGCGTTTCGGGTCGGTAGCATGCGTTTCTGCGGTCGTAAAGATGTGTCTCATTCTCTTGGACCGGCAGTGGGGATCGCGGCGCCCCTTATGTTCCGCACACGGCCGCGCGCACTGCCGCGCCTGATGCGCCGGCCCTGGCAACGCATCAGCGATGTACGCAGCACGCGCGACGGCTCAGAGGCACCAACGCAAGAGTCCAGTTCAGCCACCGAGCCCCCGCAGCGGCAGCGCTCGCCGCAGACGCAGACGCCGCCACCGTCGGCGCCGCCGCAGGGCCCCGCCGCCGCCGGCGCGCGGCTTGCCGCCCGCGCGAGGGCCCTGGCGCTGCGGCTTTGGGAGGCGTCGCTCCGCTGCCACAACTCCCTGCTGTACCGCTACTACAACTCGCGCTCCCCGGCCACCGACCTGCGGCTGTTTGCGTTCGCGTACGCGGGCGTCATGCTGTTGCTTGCGGCGGCGCAGCACTACGCCCTGGACGACCCAGGGGTGCCCTTCTGGGCAGACCTCTATAAGGCAAGCCATAGAGGGGCGCGCGCTTTTAGGTGGTCACTAATGCCGGAGCAGCTGGCCAGAGTCTTGACCCGCCGGCTGTGCCTGTGCTGCTGCGCCTTGCTTTTGGGCAACTCGCATTTTCGCAACCCACAGTATGCAAATGCAGCAGCATGGCGGGCTGCTGCACACCCTGGAGCCTGCACATGCGTCGCGCGCGTGTAGGGCATGCATGTGTCCGCATGCAAACCCCCGTCTCCACCCAAGCACGCCCCATGCGTGCCGTGCTGGTTATGCGTGCAAACCGCAGATCGCACGGTACAACTTTGGAGAAGACTTCCCCGGCGACGGGGCGCCGCCGTTTGCGCGCCTGGTGGCCGTGCTCACCGCGCTCACCGGGCTCCTGGGCTTTGCATTGATACTGGCCCTGGTAGAGCAGGTGAGCGGCGGCGGCCGCATGGGCGGGTGCGCTCATGCTCAACCCCCCGTGCGACGAGTGGGGAGGCCTAGGTCCTGCGCTTGCCACCCACCCGCTGGACATGGACGCCGCTGGGCATGGCACGTGCTGGCACTGGGACCAGGCAGCCGACAACCCCAAACGGCCACCCAAGTTAACCGTCACCAAGCAGCCCTGGCTGCCACACGATCCCCGAGCAGTCTGTGCCTAAGCCCTGCGCTCGCGTGCCATCGCGTGTGAGCCTCGTGTCACTCGTCTCGGCCAGCCGCCTCTGTCAGGGGCTTCAAAAAGCCGCATTCACGCCATGTGACTCTGGGGAACTGCCGCATTCAAGTTGCTGCCACACCCGCTGCGACGGGCACATGTCGGCCTGCCCAGGTGGTTCTCGAAGGCCTGGACACCAACGTCAAGCGGGGCCGCGGCGTGGTGGAGCACGGCCACGTGAGACGCGCCGCCCGCCCTGCTCCCCGCCGCCTGCTGGGGGGATCAATTCGGATGTGTCATCGCCGACCAACAGTTCCTTTTGTTTGCAACCAAAGGCAGCCTATCACAATCACAACCGCGTCCCCAATCGCTGACCAGATCCTGATCCTGAGTTGGTGCACCAGCCAGCGCGACCTGGAGGTGGTGCGCAAGGTGCTGGCGCAGGCCTGCCTCGCCTTCCGGCCAGAGGGCGGCACCACGGTGCGGCGGGAAACACGAAGTCGCTCTTGATCGGAGAGGTTTCATGCAGTGCGGCGGAATGTGTAATGCCTTGGCTTCGTGCACACCACTCTAGATTACACGCACGCATATGAACACACACACACACACACACGCAAAAGCCAAACACACACACACATGCCCGGGCACATGCACTTGCAAACACACATACACGCACGTGCACGTGCCCACGCACACCTCCCAAGGTTGTTGTCATGAGCCAGCGCTCCAAGCTGGAGATGGAGTCCCTGGCGGCCCGCGACATCCCCCCCTCCGCCCGCCATGGCACCAAGATCGTATTCCGCCAGGGCAGCCCCCTCGTCCCCGGGGACCTGGCCCTGGTGTCGGCCCACACGGCGCGCGCGACGCTCATCATCAGCGACCAGAGCCGCAGCGCGGCCGAGGCGGACGCGCAGTCGGTCAGGTGCGGCGCGCTTCTTTCCTGTGCTTCGTTCTGCCGCTTTCGCGGCGAGCGCCCAGGTCGTGTTCCGCGCAGCACGCACCCCCAGGGCCTGTGGTAGAGCAGATAGACACCATCCCGTTGCCACGCCTGCGGCATGAGCCCCGCTCCCGCGACAGGCTTGCCGAGCGCGGTGTGCACACCAAAAACACTGTATGTGTGTGGGTGCGAGCTGAAGCAGGCCCGCAGACTAAGACTGCCACACCCTGTCACAATCCATGCGTTCTGAAGGGCGGCCATCCTGGTTGATGAGCTCGACGACGCATACCTCTACAACCGTGCCTCCGGTGATAGCAGCTTTTCCCACCTTCACATCCCCGGCGGCGGCGCCACCGCCGCCGCCGAGACTCTGGCCAGCAACGGCGGCGCGCACGGCACCAGCCACCTCGCCACTCTCGGGTCCGTTGTCGCGAGCGTCGCGGCGTCCCCTGCGTCGGGAAACAGCGGTGCGGGGAGCTACGACGGCGGCAGCAGCAGGAGCAGCAGTGGCGGCGGCGGCGGGAGCAGCGGAAGCAGCTGCAGCGGCGGAAGCACGGGTGGCCTTGACACGACGGAGGCGACGCTGGACGATGTCGGCTCAGGGGCAAGCCAGGCAATGTGGCGGAAGCACAGCAATGAGGGAGACCGGATGGCTCACGAGCTGCGGGAATCGCTGATGCAGGAGCAGCGGGAGCAGGAGCAGGAGGAGGACCGCGAGCAGGAGCGGGAGCGGCCAGAGGAGGACGACGGGGCGCCAGGAGTGGGGACAGGGGCGCGCGCGGCGTGCGCGTGGGCGGCGGGGCTGGGGGGCTGCGGCGAGCAGGAGCGTCACATTGTGGTTGAGATCAAGACGGCCAACGCGCTGCCGCTGGTGAAGTATGCGTGCTCTGACCGGGTGTCGGCGCTGCCAACGGGGCCGATCAACGCGCAACGGGTGGGTTTGGGCGGCGTGGGAGGGACGCGCGGGTGGAGGGCAGGGCGAACGCATGCAGCTGCCTGTCCGGGTGAAATTTCACGACAGATACAGCTGTTTGTATGCCTGCAATTACCACCCGTGATGCCGACGGAATATGTGACATGATAGATCACATGCACGCAGCTGCCAGGAAGCCAGCAGCACAAGGCAGCACACCAGCGCCGGCGAACCCAACCGCCCCACCTCGCCAACTCGACTATGTTCAACCCCCACCTGGGGCCGTGCTCACCGCCTGGCAGATGGCCCAGCTGGTGAAGCGTCCCTTTGCGTCGATGGTGAGCCAGCAGCTGGTCAACTTTGGGTCGGCGATGAGCGCCTACGCCCAGTGCTACCCGGATCTGGAGGGCACGAGGCGAGTGCCAGCGCAGGCGCCGCGCGGTGGTGGGCGCTCGCCTACTTGCACATGCAAAACGGGCGGCGAAGGGGTTGGCTGCCGCGTCGGCGGCTGACCGCACACACAGGAAGGAGTTGGCGACGGCTGCCAGGAAACGCTCTCAGAGGCGAGCAGCCCTTGGACAAGCCCCAATCAGCAGCCCGCCTTCCCTCGTCCCTGCCACTGCAACACACCCCGCCGCGCCGCGCCGTATGCTGCCAGGTTTGGGGACTGCGCGTTCCGCTTCCCGGACGGCATCGTGCTGGGCGTGGTCAACCGGGACATCGGCGGCCAGGCGCTCATGGCGCCGCCCGTCGAGTACATCGTGCGTGAGGACGGCTGGGTTGCATGCTCAAATGCACCGTGCCCCGATTACGTTACAACCCCTGCCTGTTGACGCGACACAGGCGCGTGCGCTTGATTATTGTCGATTTCTTTGAGACAACTGCTTACATGGTCCTGACCCCACCACGCACATTCGGAGTTGTGGCTGAGTGACTGCCCCACCACAAGCGCGCCAGTGGCTTGTCGTAACAGCCAGGCCGGAAAGCTGCAACCACCCCACCATCCAATGCGCAGGTGCAGCCAGGCGACAGCCTGGTCATCTGCCGCCCCTCCACAGTCAGCTCCTCAGACTTCCGGCCCCTCAGGCGCGCCCCACCGCCAGAGCAGCTCCACGGCGCCGCGCTTGTCGCTGCCGCGTCTGCACTGATGGGCACGCAGCCCCGAAACGTCGACCGTGGCGCCGCCGCTGACGTGGGCGTCGTCGTCTGCACCAACCCTTCCGGCGCCTGCGACGGCAAGGGCTGCGGCGCAGGCGGCGGGTGCCGGTTCGAGGGGGGCGACGCGGCCGACGTTGGCTGCGACGTCACCCTCAGCGACGAGTGCTGCGGCCCGCACGGCTGCACGGGCAGCTGCAAGAACTTTGCACGACGTGCAAAGTGGTCGCGGCAGAGGGCGACGGCGCTCGCGACGGAGCTGCAGCACCATCACAAACACAAGCAGCAGCAAGGGCCGCAACAGCTGCAGCAGCAGCAACAGCAGCAGCAGGGGCAGCAGTACCGTCATGGGGGGAGCATGCACCTGCCACTCGCAGGGGAGGGTGATGGACTGTTTGACCTTCAGGACGCCGCCCTGCTGGTGCCCACAGAGTACCTGGAGGTGCGCCGCCGCCGCCCCTCCTCTTGGGGAAAAGAAGGCCAGCGGGGGGCTGCGCAAGTCGTGGTCCGTCGCGGTGGCGGCCGGGAGATGAGCACAGCAGCCCCATTTACGTAGAAGAGAGGGCAGGCCTCGAGCCAGTGCCTGTCGCAGCGTCGGTGTCCTTCACCATACCAATCGTGGCCGGCCGCAGGTGGATGACGAGCCAGAAGACGTCCTTGTGGCCGGCTGGGGGGCAGAGAATGTGATGGTGCGCAGATGTGCGCACGGCCACCACATCGGAGCCAACCTGGCCCTGCGTCCAGGTGGCTCTGGAGCCTTTTATGCGTAGCACGTTGCGCGTGCGCCGCCAGGTTGCAGCCTAGAGCAGGGTCAGTCCAGGGGGGCCTGCGAAAGTTCAGCGCTGCCCTCAGCCTTGCAGCGCTCCAGCAGCACACTGCACGCGTGTCGGGAACGCAGCCGGGCCCGAACCCAGCCCGTCCCGCAATGGAAGTTTACTCCCACCTGCGGCGTCGCGTCTGCAAGTTATCAATTGACAGACACACCAGGTTAAAAACGCAATCAATAAAGGTGGCTACCTGACAATGGGCTTTGTTTCGTCCCCTGCCTTGTATGTACCTGGTGCTGCAGGAGAACCTGCTGCGGGAGCTGGACAGTGGCTTCAGCGCCCTGCCCGAGGGCAGTTCCGTCACGTTTGTCAACGCCTTCCCGGCGGAGGACACCCTGGCGCGCGTGCTCAACCACGGGCCCGTTGAGAACATACGGGTGAGGGGGCGGGGCGCACACTCGGCGGCTGGTTGGGTCGGGCGCTGCGCGCAGCGCTCTGCGCCTTGGGCTGTACCGCCTTCTAGATGTGGGCGGCGGATTCTGCGGCGCAAGGGGCTGCAGCTGCCGTTTTGGCAAGCAGAATGGCAGGCAGAACATCTGAAATTAACCAGCATGCACCTTGGACTTGAGGGGCAGTGCTTCGACTCTACGCGCACGTCCCCCTTACCACCACCACCAGGTGTCTCACGTGCAGGCGGACCCGTTGCAGAGGGCTCAGCTGACCGACAAGCTTGACATGGCCGCCTTCAGGCGAGCGCTCCGCCCACCACCAATTGCAGAACCCTCCTCACGGCCACACACGCGCGCACATGTGCAAGCATCCATGTGTGGCCTGTCTGCATGCAGCACAGCACCTTTCTGAGAACGGCAGCTGCCGGCAGTCACTTAGTGTCCTGACATTTTATCACACCATTGTCCAAAACCTTCAGGTGTGCCGTGGTGGTCTGCGACCACTCCTGGCTGGTGAGCAGGGGGGTGGGGCAGCCAGGAGCCACGAGCAGGGGGGCACAGCAGGTCTCCAACTATCCAGACGATGGGTAGTGACGGCTGTGGGGCAAGGAGCGTGTTTCAGCCTTACCTGCCAGCCACTTGCCTGGGTCTGGAAGCAGCCTGGACAAACACGAGGAACACCGTATTGCAAAAGCATACACACCACCTTGCTGCTGGTTGTGTTTGGAGCTGAGCCCCTTGGTGGCAACATCTGCAACCCTAATGAGCAGCAACCGATCACGGCCATCCTCTGCAGGACCCCGACCGCGATGACTCCAACGGCCTGGCGCAAGTCGATGGGCCCTCGGTGCTGCGCATCGACAGCCTCATCATGACGGTGCAGGTCTGCAAGAGGGGCGGGAGATGGGCACAGCGGATGGCGCGGTTGGCATACACAGATGCATGCGTGCGAGGGCAGCTGGACTAAAGAAAATCTCTGAGAAAGCTCTCATTCACCTCCTTGCCTCTCTTCCACCCACGCCCACCGTGCCCGCTGCTGTATTCCCCCAGCTCAACATCCGCAAGCTGCTGGAGGATAGCAGGCTGCCTCCGATAAACGTCATCTGCCAAAAGGTGGGGCTCGCCGTATGACGTTTCTGTTTTCAAAGGTCAAGGTCAAGCAGGCGAGGCCGTGCCTGGAGTCAAGAGTGGCTCGGTTGGGCAGTCCGCTCGTGCCAGCCTGTTCCCCTCTGGGACGCGGCGCAGCCCGCCGCCCAGCCGCTTTGACAGGCAGGCTGCGACACGCGCGCTGCAGCATGCATGGCCTCAAGCTGTGCACGCCAAGGAGTTGCACCACGCGCCGAGCCCCCCTCTGGGCAGATCGCCCTACTGCTTCTTTGATGAGTAGCTCTTTGCGTGGCCCCGTCCTGCCCCCATCACCTCCACCTGATCTTCAGGTCGGGACTGAGGGCCTCACGCGTTTTGAAGACAGGTGAGATCATCTTAAGCAACTCGTGAGAACTGTGAGCCGTTGGCCCCCGGGGCCGGCGGTGCGCCGGCCCTCACGAGGCCACAGGCGCCGCCGCAAAACTCCCATTGCTGCACCTTCCTCTCATTACGGCCAAGCGCCGGCACCTTCACCCGCCCACTGTCGCCCCCTTGCGCTTGCAGGCAGCGCCTGCCCCTGGGCATATCCGTCAACTTCAACAGCTTTGCGGCCAAGCTGCTCACCACAGTGGCGTTCAGCCCCACGATGCTGCAGCCGGTGATCCGCCTGGGGTCCGAGGCGCAGCTGCACATCGTCGACTCGTCGTGCCTCGCTCGGTGGGCGGGGCGG